ATTTGAAACAACACAATATTGTTGYCAAAATTGGTTGGCCTACCAGTGCATTGAAAAATATTTTACTGAATGTATTAATTTTTAAATAATAATTAGTTTATAAGTAATTAAAAATTATTTATTACTTATTGAGTAGTAATTAAATAGTAGTAGTAGTAGTGATAGTAGTAGTAATAGTAGTAGTAATAATAATGATAATTATAATAATTCAATATCAATTTTAAATTTTAAAAAATATACTGTATATATTAATATAATACTAATAATAATTTATTAATAATATATATTTTTAAAAATTTTATTATTATTTTTTAATAATAAACTATTTTCTAAATTATTAATTTATAGAAACATCAAGATATATGTACAGACACTGAATATAAATGGTTAGACAATGATTTAATTGAGTTTAAATCCAAACAGGAAATGGATATATGTAGTCAAGTAAAGTACGATGGTGATTTTGATTTTAAATGTAAAGGTATACTAGCTAAAGAAAATTTAATACAAGATAATTAATAATAATAATAAAACTAATGATGATGATGATTATGATAATGCTAATATTTAACAAACAACAACAACAAAAATAATACAATGATTTAATAATTTTATAGATTGATACTAAATTTTAAAATATTTTTTAATTTTTATCTATTAATATGTAAAAAAAGTATTATAATAATATTATTTTTTTAATTTTAATAAATAAATTATAATATAATTTTTGTTGTTGTGAAATTTTTTAATTATAATAATTATTGGTTTATTTGTAAGTTTATTGACAAATTAATTATTAAATTAATTTAATAATAAGTTTAAACATTTATGTCTGATAACACTTTAAAAACTGTAAAATAAACTAATCTAAAATAATAATAATTATTATTTATTTATTTTTCCTAATAATGTTAAACAATGTCTAAAAAACTTTATATAAATATATTATCTTTTGCAAACCAATTGTGTGAATTATTTAATAATATTAGTTATTAAATATTTTTATATTATTATTAWTGGTAGTAGTAGTAGTAGTAGTAGTAGTAATACTATTATTTATAATATTATTATACTGTAAAATAGTCAATATCTTTAGTAAATAAGAAGTTTAGATTATAAATATATAAAAAACAAACTACTTGAAATGCGGTCATAATAATATGATACATTTTTTAATCATTATAAAAATGGGTGGTAATCTTGCGGTATTAATAGAAAAGTTGTAGATAATTAAAAGTTGGTCTAATTTCCAATAAGTAAAAAATTATCCGACCACCAATTAATTTAGCACAAAAAAATTAAAACATGTTTTTTTGTATAAAAAAAGCTTCCCGTTTTTAATGAAAACGGGTGGTCAGATCTAAAATTCCTCAATAGAAAAGTTGTAGAGGACAAAAAGTTGGTCTAGGGTTCCGATAAGTAAAAAATATATCCGACCACCATATATAAAAAAATTATAAACTTGTTTTTTTTGTATAAAAAGAGCTGCGGTCCGGATTTACACGAAAACGTGATCAGTTCTTGCGGTCCACAATAGCAAAGTTGTAGAAAAATTGGTATGAGATTATATTAAATAAAAAATTTTATGACCACCAGGTGGCACACAAAATTTTTTTTATATCCTAATTTATTAAAAAATGATTAGTCACATTTTAAAGAGGATAATTTTTGATATTAAATAATTAAATTATTAAACCAGATAATTGTACAGTAATTAATCACAAATATAATTTTTTATTATATATATTATAATACTATACGTAACTTATACTATTACTTATAATTATTACTTATACTTATAATTTTTTAATTTCTTAATTGCTGTACATATTGTTTATATTGTTTTAAAATATTATATAAATTTAACCATATGTTAAACAAAATATTAATTTAATTACTTTTTACATAAACAAATATTATTACAATTTTACTTCTAACTTTACAATGCAAATAAATTGTACATAAAAATAAAATAAAATAGTTTTTTATAAATCATTTTTTAATAATTCTAAAATAAATCGTATATTGTATAAATTATCACAGCTAAATTAATTAATAAAAAATATTATACTATTTGTAAACACTATATTTGAATCTTGTTCAAATATAATTATGTTATTACTAACAATATCAAATGAATTAATACAAGTAAACAAAATAAATTAAAAAAATGATATAATATTCATTGTAAAATACTATTTATTTTTTAATTATTATTTTTTGCTACATATGGTTAAATTATAATATTTTATAAATAATATTATAATAACATAATATAACATTAAACAATATTATAAACAGACAATTTTCAATAAAAAAATACTTTTTAATTTTTTTGTGCGCCCCCTGGTGGTCGAATAATTTTTTACTTATTGGAACCCTAGACCAACTTTTAATTATCTACAACTTTTCTATTAAGGACCGCAAGATCTGACCACCCGTTTTCGTGTAAATCCGGAAAGCTTTTTCTATACAAAAAAAACATGTTTTAATTTTTTTTGCGCCCCCTGGTGGTCGRATAATTTTTTACTTATTGGAACCCTAGACCAACTTTTAATTATCTACAACTTTTCTATTAAGGACCGCAAGATCTGACCACCCGTTTTCGTGTAAATCCGGACCGCAGCTTTTTCTATACAAAAAAAACATGTTTTAATTTTTTTGTGCGCCCCCTGGTGGTCGGATAATTTTTTACTTATTGGAACCCTAGACCAACTTTTAATTATCTACAACTTTTCTATTAAGGACCGCAAGATCTGACCACCCGTTTTCGTGTAAATCCGGACCGCAGCATTTCCCATAGCGGACCGCAGTTAAGGCATTCCCATAAAAAACAAACTACTTGAGTTTATTTCATAATAATATGATACAATTAAAAAAAATTAGTCATTATAAAAATGCTATAATAATTTATTATTATCTAAAACTACTTCAAGTAATTAAAATAAAACTTATGATTAATAAACTGTTTTATAAATTACTATTAGTGTCTTGATTTCCAACTAAAAAAATTATTTTGTCGGTTCAACGCTTATAACTGGGACTTTGTATGTCCACCGAAGTTAACCAGTGGACGCTATTTCCGAAATTTTATTATAACTATAAATAACTATTTGTTGGGTTAGATACTATAAAAACTTATAAATAATTATTTCATTGATTTTGAAAAATATAAGCATTAAATTGTAAAATATTGCACAAATAATTTTAAAAACAAAAAGTAATAGTTATATAAATTATATAAAATGTGTAAACTGTTATTAACTCATATTACTTTTTTAACAATAGAAATAATTAGTTTATTTATATAAATCATTTTTGTAAATATGCTGAAAACAAGTGAATTATATATCAGTTGAAATATTTATAAGAAAATAAATGACTATTTCAATAACTATTTGGCTTTTTTGGCAATTATATACAACTATTTAATACATTTTAAATAACTATTTTAACAACTATTTGACTTTTTTTAGCAACTATTATAACAACTATTTAATAGAGTATAAAAATTATTAATCATTACACTAATTACTATTATAATACTAGTATACTATTATAAATCTATTATAAACTGTATAGTATATTACATTATATATATATATATAGGATATAACAAAAAAATTAAAAATATATATGTAATAATTTAATTTTTATTGAAAATAAATTATATTATATATTTATTATTACGAATTTGTTTTAATTATTTTATATAACCTATAATATTTAAAAACCTATGATTAATAAACTACTTTTTAAACTCTCTCTCTCTCTATATATATATATATATATATATATATATATGAAATAGTTTAGAAACTTACATAAAATAATTTCTAGTTATGAAAATTAATTAATAAAATAAGTTTAATAGACATAAAAATAACTTTATTCAATATACTGATTGCTAGCATATTGTTTAGTAAGTTGACAATAGTATGTAAATATATGGATAATAATAATTAACTAGTGATGACAATAATTTTTTTAATTAATAAATTTATAATTTAAAAAAAATAAATAAATATTCAAGCTTATTTTTTAAACTTCATATATATATAATAAAAAATTATACTAAATAATTATTATTTAGTATAATGTATTAATATAATTAAATAATACAGATTATAATTATAATTAATAATTTATATAGTAAAATATTAATTATAAATTTTATTGTATAATAATTTATTAGTTAATTACCTAGTACAAAGTTTATTTTTTAAAAATCTTATTAGTATAGAAATTGTCAAAATTATCAAAACTTTATTTTTATTTATTACTATTCATAAACCAATTATATGATTTTTATGATAAAAACAATCCTATCATAAGTTATATGGATAGCAATTATATAACTTTATTTTATTATATTGCTATTGAATTCATATTTATATTATATTTTAAGATTAAAATTAAGATTAATTTCAGAAAATTTATTTAAAAAATGTGTAATAAAGTTGCCCGCTCATTATTTAACCTGGTATTTGATAACGTAAATAAAAAATTTAGTTAATGTAATATMTATAACTTTATATATATATATATATATATATATATCTAATAAATATATAAAAATTATCAAAATTGTAAAATTTGACTTAACTAAACTTAATAAAAAAAAAATTAATTTATTATTAATAAAATCTATTAATTATTATTATTCTTTATTTTATTAATAAATATTCTATATTTACAATACATAATAAAAGATAATAATTTTATTTATAAATAATAAATTTACTAAAAAAAATCAAACTTTTTTAAAGATTACTCAACAATAATAAAATTAATTTACAACTCTTTTTTTAAAAAATAAAATTTATTAATAATTATCATATAGAATCTTTTATGTAATTAAAATATAAATAATTTATAAATAATAAACAAAATTATTATAAAAAAATACTATATAAATAAAGTTAAATATAATGTTAAAAATAAAATACTTATTTAATTAATAATAAAATAGGTTTTAGAAACATTTTAATTATAGAAAAACAAATTAATTTTGTTATTTAAAAAATTATGAAACAATTACTACTAATCGTAAGCTTACTAACCATTACGTTTGTGGCACTGGTATGTGCAGACATGATCCCTGAGCCGTCTAAGCAGCAACCGTATAGCCATTTGTTGCGTAAACTGGTCAGACAAAATCGTTGTATAGAAAAGAACCTTGATCATATTAACAAATGTCTAAACAAAACATCTACACACTGGGCATTTGAAAGCGATCAGTATTGTTGTCAAAATTGGTTGGCCTACCAGTGCATTGAACAGCTACTGGATGTATGTATTTAAAAATTATTTTTAATATATATTGTGCAACAACAAAAAATAATAATAGCAACTAAATTAAAATTAAATCAGTATACTAATAATTTTATTATTATTATTACTTTTTGGTAATATATTATAAAATACTAATATTAACTATACTTATCTAAAAAAAATAATAAGTTATTATTATTATATTTTTTTTAATTAATTTTTTTATCATTTATAATAATATAGAAACATTTTGATAAATGTAGTAATGATGACATTATCTATTTGGACAATGAATTGGTTGAGTTTAAATCCAAACAGGAAATGGATATATGTAGTGATGTTAAGTATAATGAAAATCGTATGAATTACAGATGCATTAATAGATTGGCTAAAGAAAATACCGTACAATAATATTACTGATGATTTGAAATGAAAACTAATTAACCATGCTAATTTGTACTTGATATTTATACTATTATTACAAGTATTATCATTATTATTAATACTGTATTTATCTTAAATTCAAAATGTAATTTCAAAATGTATTAATTTGTTTTTATTAGCTAAAACAGTATCTATTATTTATATTTTATTTATCTGTATTGCATTATTTTTTTTTATTTTAATAAATAAATTAAGAAAAATTTATTTGTTTATAAATTTATTATTTTTTGTCTTGTTTTTAACTAAACTATTTATTTAAATACAGGTATTTATAATATGTTTTGTTTAATATGTTTGACTAAACATTATTATTTTATATTGAATTTACCAAACTATTTAGTTTAATATTTATAATTATATTATAGTTATTATATTATAGTTATTATATTATAGTTATTATATTATGTTTAATGTAACTAAACTATATTGTTATATGTAAATGATAACAGTATAAATACAATTTCTATTTTATAACTATAATAAATAAAATGATTATTATGTTTGCTAACACATAGATTACATATTTGTTGTTATTACAGTATTTAAAAAAACTAACTTTAAATATTAACTTATATTTAAAAACATGATTTATATTGCTATTTTATTTTCATTATTAATATTAAATAAATAGATTACTTTTAAACATTTTTATTAGATATAAATAATTATTATATATAAGGATGATAATTATTTTATTTATAGTATTTTTTTTATTATTTTAGGTTTGTTTTAAGTTCAATGTAAATGTAAATTTGTTTAGATATCAATTAGTAATAGCAAAATTAATAAAAATATATACAGTCTAACAATATTATAATAATTTCCTATTATATACAATGTATAATACTGTATAAATACGCTATATATTATGTATATATATAATATAGTAAACATATTTTAAAGTAAAACATTTACAATAATTAAAAACTTTATCAAGCACGCTTATCAAATAAATATGTTTATACATTAACTTATTGAAAAATATTATCTAAATAACAAACTTGTAATATAATAATTATAATAATAATAATAATTTAATTAGCCAAGTTTAAATAAATATTGAATAATAATAAAAATTTAATTAGACAAGTTTAAATAAATATTGAAAATAATAATAATAATAAATTAACACAAAATAATTTACTTATAATTATCATTTAAAAAGTTTAGATTTAATTAGATTGCAACAAAAATGCAAAAATTATATAGTAGTAGTAGTAATAATAATAATAATAATACTATTATATTTATAATAACTATAATTTTAGTTAATATTGTTTTCAACTGTCACTGTAAATGTCCCGAATCGGCTGATCTGGTAAAGCCATGCGAGTGCCGGTATATTGACGGCACCGACAGATACGATAGTATTACAGAACTGATATGCGTTGGTAACGATATCCATGATTTGGTGCCAATATTCGAAGGGTTATCCAGAAAATTACCGTCAGATCAGAAAAACTTTACATCACTAGTACTGTTGAGGACGGCTATCAAGTCGTTGCCGGCACAGGTATTCCGCGACATACGATTTGATCAGTTTATTGTCAAATACAATCAAGAGTTGACAACTATAGATACGGATGCTTTTCATGGGCTGTCACTGAAACTGATACATTTGGGTGACTGTCCACTGTTAGACCATAAACATGATGGCGGGGGTAGTGGGTCAGGGACTGATATATTTGCCATAGTCAACAAAATGACCCAGCTACGCTATTTGGCCCTGATCAGATGCAATTTGGAACAGTTGCCCGATGAGGCAATCAAACAGCAGCTACCTGTGCTTGAATCTATATCCCTGGTAGGCGAAACATTGAAATCAATTGGTGCACGCGCATTTTACGGTGCCCCCAATCTCAGACACCTCTACATTGAGGACACCTCTATCCAGAAACTAAATGCACCATGCTTAGAATTTAATTCCAATAATAATAATAATAATAATGTATTGAAAATTTTATTCAACGCCAACCGTCACCTGAATAGTGCCAGTTTTGATGGTCAATCGTTGGCACAGTTCGGCAGCCAACGGGTGACCAACATTACTATATGGGATTCAAATCATTGGCACTATTTGGACGAATCGGTATTTCGACCGTTTTTTTCGGCCAATCCATCCAATGAATTGATTTTCTATAAAAATGAACTCAAATGTAAAAATTCAAAAAATAATTGGCTAAAAAATGAACCGTCAATTTTGGGCCGTATTTTTCAAGTAATCGGCACTAATGGTCATCGAATAAATATCGATAAATTAGCCGGGTGCTAAAAAAAAGTAAAAATTATACACACAAGTTTTATTAATGTAATTTATTGTTATGATTTTTTTAGAATTATTAAATTTGTTTTTTTTAATTATAATATTTCATAAAGTGATAATTTATGATAATTTATTGTAATATTAATTATCCAACTGTTTATTAAAAAAAAATCATAATAAAACTATTTTAAAAAATATAATTAATTTATTGTTTTTTAAACTAGTTGTTTACTATTAATATTAATATTATAGTTAGTTTTTTTTAATTATAAAGATATTTTTATAGCATAATAATTTTTTTATAAATAATCTAATTATGCTATAAAATAAATATAATAATAATAAATAAATAATCCCAAATGTATATATTTATATAAAATAATAAAAAATACACCTGGATCAAATTTGTTATTGTATTATGCCTATGAAAACACAAGTGCCCGGTTAGATTTTATTTAGTGGTTTTCATTTTTGTGTTGTTGTTTATTACTAATGGGAGACTGTTAGCCTTGACCATTACCAGCACATRTATGTTTAAGTCACGGTCAGTAACTGGTTAATCCCGTAATAGTAGTCTATATACAGATATCTACAACTGTTTATTATGCAATAAATATTCATCAAAATTAAAGTATAGTATAGTAAAAAAAAATTTCTAATAATAATATCTAAATCAATATGTAATTTACTTCAAGTATTAATTAGAAATTATTATAAAATAATTAATTAATTTTTTAAAGTAAGTTGCAAATTGTTATAATTTTATCAATTGTTTTTATAACTAGCAATAATGATAAATAATAGTTTTTTTTAAAAAAATAATTTTATTATATTAAATAATAAGAATTTGTTGTTTAAAAATATGAAACTTAAATAAGATTAAATTGAATTATTAATTTTTTTTTTTGATAAAATTTTACTGATTTATATATATTTTTTGATAAAATTAGTTAAACACAAATTATGTACAAAATGAATCTAGCAACTTTATTTAAAAACTATGTCATTTTTATTAGATTTTAAAAACTTTAGTTAAACACAAATTATGTACAAAATGAATTTTACAAAATTTTAATATGAAGTTGCTAGATTCATTTTTAGATTAAGTTTACACTGGTCTCTAATTTAAAATGAGATAATTATTAGTTTTATTTTAAAAAATTAATTATTATTATTTATTAAACAAATTAATTTTTAATTTTAAAATTTAATAATTACTAAATTGATACTATTTTATTAGATAGGTTTTTTGGGTGTCTCTAATACATATATTGTTGTTTAAATAAATAAATTTTTATAATCATTGGCTTTAGATTAGTATAACTAAATTTTTTAAATACATTTGTATCTTATATTTATAGTTTTTAATTAAAATAAAATACATTATAAAAACTATTTTCTAAATAATTTATTGCATTTAATTATATGATAGTTTTAATAGAAATATTTTTTATAACAATAATTTTGTTTTTTTAAAATTTAATTATTCTATAAAATAATACCTAAAAAATATAATTTAAATAAAAATAAATTGTATGTTTATTTAAACTTATAATAATTACATTAATTGTAATCTCATAAATAATATAATATAATGTTTAGTATGAATATTATAATTTATATTTTATTTATTTATAATTTATTTTATAAATAATTATCTAAATAACCTAAAGTTAAATTTCTAATTAATCAATATTTATAGTAAAACTATTGATATAAAAATAACAATATTAATAAATTACATAATAGTTTAGATTAGTTTATTACGTGATATTTTTTTCTATATAATAGTATTAAAATCGCATTTTTTTACCTAATATTAATAAATTTAATAATATATTTCTATAAATATTAAATATACAATTATTTAGTAATATGCAAAAAAAATTACTTTTATTAATGTATTTTGAATGATAAATATAMTAACCTCTAAAAAAATATTTTTTTTAATGTCATATAAATTATATTAGCCTTAAATAGGCAAAATAAATAATTGAATAATTTAGTTTAATCAAAAAAATATATGATGATGATATAAATGTTGCTCTATTATCTGAATTTATTTTACAATAACATTAAAAATGATCTACGCCAATTTGTTATTATTATGAAAAAAATAATTAATAATTTGAAAAATAAATTCAATAAATATATTAACAAACACAACGATATATACAGTGCTATCGAAACTATTGAACAGTTTATCAACACATATCATATAACTATCTACAAGTCGACAGATGATTATTGTTTGAAAACTGTACACAAACCGTGTCGGGTATTTTGGATACTTGTTGGCCGATTATGTTGTCTACTGTCGACAGTGAGGTTTACCATTATGGCACTGTCATCAAACACTAGTAGTAGTAGTAGTAGTACACCGCAGTTAACTAGTATACTGATCAGTGATTTTACTAAACTATTTGCCGTTGAATTACCAATGGGTTGGGCACTGTTAGTTTTGGCCCTGTCCCTAACCGGTATGATACTGGTTGGTAGTTATCAGGAATCAACAGGGACCATGTATCTATTTGATTTTCTAAACAAACTCAAACATAACCGATTAATGTATCCATTGATGCCAGGTAATTTACTAAAATTTGGCCAGGTAGTCAATCGATTGAACAGATTCCTGATGAACCAAGGTTATTTTCTATTGGTAACATTGTTTTCGCTAACACATTTATACATGCTTAGTTTATGGGTCTATACCATTGACCATGGTTGGAAATATTGGT